GAATATATTTTGTAGATTTGGGATGCCGAGAGTGATCATAACTGATGAGGGAAGTCATTTTAGAAATGTAATGATTGAGAAATTATTAAAAAAATATCATATTAAACATATAATTGCTACTACTTATCTTCCTTAGACAAGTGGTTTGACTGAATTATTCAATCATGAAATTAAAAGAATATTGAAAAAATATGTAAATCCGATCAAAATGGATTGGTCAGTCAAACTTGACTATATTTTGTGGGCTTATAGGACTGTATACAAAACTCCTATAGGAATGTCCCCATACAATGTAATATTTGGGAAAACGTGTCACTTATCAGTTGAACTTGAGCATAAAGTATATTGGACGATTAAGTAATTTAATTACAATTTGAAAGATGTTGGTGAGAAGAAGTTATTGCAATTAAATGAGCTTGAAGAGATAAGAATGTGAGTTAGTGGACCCAGAGGAGCACACAATAGCGTGTATCTTGGAGGATTGAGATCATTAATTAGTAATGTGGTGGAACTACAATCTTATTGGTCCCTACTTGATGTACATACTATAGCATTGAAGATGAAGAAACGACAACGTCACTAGATGACGGTTGCACCTTGCAGACAAAGTTCGATCCCATAATCAGGCAGCAAGAGTACACCCAGTGGAGCATCCTAACTGATCCCGTATGAGAAGAAATTAATCCAAAGTGGAGAAGAGGTAGAGCCCACTAGTACTCCCAGATCTGTCCCAATTAAGAAGTGTTTCAAGTGCCACAGTTTTGAGGACATTATATAAGTTTGGTCAAACAAGAGTAATATTTTTCACTAAGTAGGGTACAGTGCAAGAGGCAAAGAATGAATACCTCGAAGAGAATGAGTAGTACCGGCTTGCAGCCGATGAGGGAGAGATGCTAGTGATTCAACCCGAGCCCATGAGAGAGACTCTGACATGATTATCATTGGCTATTCTAGAAGGCAGTGAGTTCAAGGTAATGAACTTTCATACAGAGTTTGAGAATGTTGTGCCACAAAATATTTTTTTCAGGCATCAAAAGGAGAATCAACATTATTGACATTGGTTGTCCAAGAGGGCCATGATTTTGAGGAACCGACGCCTGACACATGACAACCTCAGATAAAAAAATTCAAGATTTTTAGACATATAATCTACCTTCTAAGTTCCCATTATTGAGGCAGGTCCACTATGTCATAGATTAAAAAATTTTGAGCTATTTATGGAAGGCTATATAGAGTAATATGAGTGTTACATTTCAGTTCAGTTCAACAATGTTGCCCCATATAGATAGATAGTAGTGAGATGCTATCTCAAAAATCACAATAGGTGTTTTATGGGAAAGAACATTTGACTGTGAGATCAAGGTCTTTCCAAAGAGGAAAAAAAACCTCTCCTAGCTTAAGGGAGAATAACAGGAGAGCGATGAAGGAGTCATGAGATTGCGTAACCTGCAATCCTGATCACAGGATTTTCATTATACCGCAAAAATGAGGCTCCTCGCGATCTGAGATGATCGAACGGGTAAGTTCCCGTTCGGTTTGCAATTTCTGTAGCGAGCTTGTCATTTTATTTATTTCCTATTTTCTTATTTCCTTAAATTCTTATTTTCTTATTTCTAATTCTAGTTATTTCTATTAGAAGTCTATTTTTTTGTTGTTGGGCTATTTTAAGGCTTTAGTTTTGTTGCTTTTATGAAGTTGAGAGGTTTTTTTTTTATTTATTCTCTTCGGAGTGATGTATTCTCTTCATATTGCGAGTGGCGTGTCTATAGCTTGCCCAAGAAGAGGTGATGGATCCCCCTCGACGTATGTACTTCACCGTTTTGTCATTCAGCGGTTGTTTCCAATCTGGACAGCCGCCGAACTCCTCCAATTGCTGTCCAACCGCAGGTTTTATCTCATCCCCCCTCCAAACACCTTCAAACTATCACGTCCTTTAGTTGCTATTCGACCGCTTCCCTGATAAATCCCCTTCATAAATACTTTCTGGGAGCCCTATAACAATATCAACTTGATATGGGGTTGTGCTTGATGGTTTTATCTACTGATTGTAGATTTGGTTTGGGTTTGAATTCAAGTTAGCTTTGCCAACCTAAGTGAATTTGAGTTTGATTTAGGCTCATTTAGATATGATTTCCAGGAAACTGAAACTAATTGCTGAACCTTTTTCTTTGAGTATTTTTTTTATGAATAGAACCTAATCTATGGTTGAGCTTGATGGATTCATTTAAGTTCATTTAAACATAGATGCAACTGATTCTAGATTTGGGTTCTGTTGAATTCAAGTTAGTATTGCTAACATAGGTGAATTCAAGTTTGATTTTGAATTTGTGCTTGAACTGAATTCATTGTGAATCGAACTCAATGCTATTGCTCGTCCTATTTCTTCTCATTACTGTATTGTTCTCTAATTCCCCCTCATACAGAGATTATCATTATGAAGGTGATGATCAATTAAAAATAAATTCAATTGGAGAATTGAGAATAGCAACTTCGTTCTTAGCCAGCTTGCTAAAGCAATTTGTGGAGCTATGTTAAAGCAGGAGAGGTTACCAAGATGAAATGACCTATCACAACTGTTAGTGATGATACCTTTTAGTTGAGAACGTTTTCTTTTTATAGAAAATGTACTATGTTTAGTTGAGTGTCCTTCACAACATTATATTCATTCCCTTATTATAAACAAGGGTCCCTTTTATTGAATAAGACATAAAAGAATTGCTTTTTCCTTAAACATAGTATTGGAACTGTATTAGTAGTTATAGTTTTCTTCCCTCTCTCTTTCTCCTCCTCAGTTTGTCACCCTCACACGGCCTACATTCACAATACAACACGTCTCACTCGTGTCCCGAGGCTTGAATTTTATTTTGCAATCCAGTGCTTGTGCACTTGTGCTTCCTTGCTTATCCTTGCTCATGCTTCTTACTTGCCTGTGCTTGTTTTCTTACCCGCTCATATGCATACATTTATGCATGAAATATGCTCAAATGTTACACTTGCCCAAACAACGCCATCATACTCAAACTTTTTGTTAGTGCGCTACCTAACAATGTTACCATTTACTCACCACATGCTTGCTTTCAGCCTCACACGTTTCTCATTCACCAATGGTTCGAGCAACTTTATGTTTGGCAATTGCCCCTCAGCAGTGTTGTAATCTCTCAAACTCCTCCTTATGACTTGAAACCCTTTTTCTCAATTGGGACCACAATCATAGTAATGATACCAACTATATCTTCTTAAAGTCGAGGTTCTTTTTCTTTATTATTCATTCTCAAAACAAACTCATCCACCATGATATGCCTTCTCCAGCTTCCGTGATATCATTATGTTTTTTAAATGGCAAGTGCTTGATAAGGTTGTTCTCACTTGAATGACCAATAGCCTTACATCTTCTAGTGCCTCAACTGTTATGTTTTCAGAGATGAACATAGAAATATGGGGTTTTCTTTGCTGAAATTCCCACTAGGATTGTAGGATCCTTAGAGTATATATTTAGACCTATTTTCTCTATGGTAGAATCATCTGCCCATCTTGGAAAACTATAGTTTTGTGCGAGTTAAGTGGGATGAGCCATTTCAGGACAGACTGTTTTCTAGAGTGTTGTATCAAATCAAAACAAGGAGTTTTATTTTACCAATCTTCTCTCTAGGCTTCATCCATCACTACTTAAAAAACATAGGTCACGGGAATCCCCAAGTACATATATATCCATCTTAAAAACATAGAATCCCAATAGTAGATGAACGCAGTTGAGTTTGATTGAATAATTCCCAAGTAATATAGCTGAATAAAAAACTTCCGTAGCAACCATAAGTGCCATATATGCCTTAAACCTGATTGCAACAGAAGATCAAATGCCTGGAATTTCTTGGATTGTAGAAGTCTTGTGATCGCAATGGAAGAAAACAAGTTCCTCAACCATGCAAGTCACATCATCTAAACAAATGACGATTACGAACTGCATGATACGAACAATAAATGCCACTGCTGAGAGAAGAAATCTTTGAAAAACGTATTACAAGAAGATGGAAGTTCATAGAGGAGATCAGGATAGGTTGTTAAGGAGATTAGTCATTGGTGTTATCCACTGTAATTCTTTCCACTAATAGCGATCACATGCTTTACGCGCTTCCCTAAAGATGCCTTAAATTGTACGTCTACTCAACATCATTTCAGAATTTCCATATATCAATTGGATGGCCATTGAGTATCAAGATAACACTAATGCTTACTTCTTTTGTATGATTAGTTTAGCTAAGTTGGTATCTCGTATGTACATAAATTTAATCCTTAATTAAGATTTAACAATTGGCATTTACATCATATTTCTCGTCTTGTGAAGGTTTTTGAATTCAACAGAAAATAAATAAAAACGGTAATTTCCATGAGATTATGTTAAGCAGATGATGAAGTCATTGTCATCCACGGACTTGGCGATCCTACATTGACTCCTCAAATTATTATTTTATGTGCTGGGCTGCACATTCTTTTTTGTTATTTATCCAAATGTTATATCATTTATACTTTTATTCCATAGTTGTCTATACATTATCTTTTGATTTTGCTTTTTGATTTACATTCTCGTCCTTTAAATTAAGTATGTATGGACATTATGTGCTTACTTATGGCGAAACAAATGGCCTGTATTGTCCGCTGTACCCAAATGCTTTGAAATAGAGGAAAACATATCTAATTTCTTTGCACATGTTCAATCTCTTATCTATGTGTAAGGCTTTCTAGTACCACCCACAAATCACCCACTTCTCTATGATATAATAATAGGATGTTGATCAGGAAACTTTTTTCATCTTTGTATTTATGCATTCATATACTACTAGCATTGGACCTTTGATGCAAGGATGGTTGGGCATTGGACCTCTTTGCTAGGTTCATATGTTTTTTGTTTTTTGTTTTTTGTTTTTCTTCTAAGTTATTTTTATTTTTGTTGGTTGAAACCATTTTGAAATATTAAAATTTATTTCTAATTACATGACTTTCAGTGACTTATCAGGGATGTGAAGGGCAGTCGTTGAGATGCTCCTTTTTGGCCTCAATTGGTGTTCACCTTAAGGCATTGTGGAAACTTGAATGCAGTTGTTGCACTGTTGCAGACTCATTGGATAGTAATTCAAGGTTTATTCTACCATTTTCTCCTAGATCATGACAATGGAAAATTGTAGCTTGTTTTTTCTTAAAGAAACTGTATTCTTTCTTGCCAATCTGTCTTATGATTTGGAAACCTTGGTCACCATTTTCAACATGAAGTATTATATTTGTGAAAGCTTGAAAATTCTTAGTAATGTTCCATGCATTTAGAAAATGCATAGAGTTTCATGTGCTTATTTGCAGAATATCATGCATCATTCTTATATTATTATTTTGGTTGACAGGCTTAATGATGGATGGGAGCTTCCATGTTCTTTATGTCCGTGCAGTGGTAGGATTAATGATCCCTGCATTTTATTTGCTGGTTTAGCAAGCAAACCTTTGATTGGTTACATCACTTTCTGTATCTTGAATCTTTTAGAGCCAACGAACCGTTTAGCAACATACCTGGGAAGTTGGGAGGATTATTACCAGTGGAGATGCCTGCCATTTAATTCACCAGTCGCTTTGTTACTTCACTGGGTAATGTCACATGCTCCAGGAACTTATTTTCTTACAGATGTTAGATTGTCATTGGTATTATGATGAGTGTAGTCATATCTTTGATGTATTAAATTCATGATGCTAAAATAACCTGATTTATAAAAGGTTTAGGTTGTGGCATTTGTGGTTTTCAATACTTCCAACTGATCATAATTTTTCTCTAAATTAGGAAATGCAATATTTATTAATTTTAGATTTTTATTTACCTACACCTGAAATTTTGATGTTAGCTTGCCAATGCCCATGCTTGTTTTCCTATGAAGCTTTAAACATTCATTCCAATTCTCCAATCAGTTGATTATTCTCTTATCTATTCTTAAGTTGTATCTGACATGCAGAGTTTTTAGTTGTTCACAGTATTTTAGCTAGAGAGATTTATGTATGTTTTCTTGGGTTAGTAATCTTCATTTGATCATGTGCAAGAGGTCTGTTTGGTTATCAATCTGAGCAGTGTTTATTCCTTGCAAAAGGAGTCTAGATTGTCCTTGCGATCTTTCACTGCCTATTATAAAAGCAGGTTAACCATTCATTTCTTTGTGACAATTGGCTTCCAATGCAAGTAACTTCACCTATTTTAGTTTTTATCATTTCAAACTAATTCAACTTTTAATACAAACATGTCTAGATTTAGTAATTTTGAGAACCTGGCTCTTGATAGGTTAGATCCAATCCAGGTAAAATAGGACCAGCCTATTTTAATTCCTGCCTAAACCTTATTTGTGCTATTTGAGTTGGAATTGGATTCGAGGGAGCTAGATAAATCGAAGTTAATTTTATTTTTGATGGATAGATTTGATACAATGCTATTACTCCTAGAAGGTGTTTGGGAGACGGATTTAGCGAGGAGGTACTTGTGAAAGGGTACGAGGAGGAGGAGAGGGGCCATCGGCGACGTCTTGAAGGAGCTAGGCGACGAAATCTGCTGTTGCACAGCAGATCCGATAAAAGCAGTGCTTCAAATGAGGAAATAACGAGATATGGGCGGCTACGAGGATCCAACACCTGTTTCTGAGTAAGATGCGGACTTATCACTTGCCAAAGGAAGATGATACAACATTCCATGATAGAAATAGGGATTTCAATCTCCATAATACTCAAATCAAATCAAAAAGTCTGTTAAAGCAACAAAATAACAACAGATAAATAGTTCCTCAAGTAAAAATCCTACTTGAAATATGAAGAATAGGAAATTCAAAAAAAAAAAAAAGAAGAATAGGAAATAAATAAAAGGAAATAAATAAAAAAGAAAAGAAATAGGAAGAAATATAATGAAATCGGCTAGTCTGGCTGCTTACGATCGCGGAATTCTATTCCACGTTCTTGCGGGAGATAATTTACTTGTTCAAGGTGCAAAATGGGCAGTAGGCTTATGCTGAGCTGAGACCTAGTTAAAATTATTTAAGAAATACTTTTCTCAGTTAGACTTTGCTGGTCCTTGAGCTTCTATATTTTTAAAATTACTTTTATGTCAACTTCTTATAACAAGCATTGAATCTATATAAGGTTTAAAATTTTGCAATTGATAATGATGAATTTTTTGTACTTGAGACAAAGTGTAATCCTCAAAATATTTCAAAGCATAAGCTCAAAATCAATTATTTGTGCAAAATAAGAAGTATTGTACCTTATTTAAGAAGCTATTTTAAGCACATGCCTCAAGGTGCACGTCGAAGTGAGGTGCTCACAAAAACTACTCAAACTGTGGCTTATTACTGGTTCAGGTTATATGGATTTATAAATAGTGGCTTGAGACCAGTAATTTATTGCTTTTAGCTTCATTCGATTTTTTTATATGATTTTTAATTTTGTGATTGTAATTTGGATGTGTAATTCTTTCTGGTGCAGTACAAGTGTGGTTAGGGCTGTAATTGGACCAGCTAACTTGATGAACAACAAAAATTGATCTTATTTAACACTCTATTAAGTTTGTTCAAATTCATAATTAAACAATTTTGAATATTTTAAAAAACTCAAATGTTAAATAAACCAAATTTAAGCATTGTCCAACTCATTTATTTATGTTCACAAATAAACTTATTTGTTGTTTGATAAATAAATTATTAAATGCTCGATATTAAGCTTGAAGGCAACTTATTTCATATATATACTATAATATTTAATTCAAATTTAATCAACTAGAATTTATTTAGTTATATTTAAGAGTAAAATTTTATAATTTAATATCAATACAACAACAACAACAACAACAACAACAACGACTACAACAACAACAATAACAAGCCTTTATCCCACTAAGTGGGATTGGCTACATGAATTCTTTTTTTCCATTGTGTCCTATTGAGTGTCATACTTTCATTTGATTCTAATAGATTGAGATCATTTTTTATACAACATGCCCATCTTTTTAGGTCTACCTCTTTCTTTACATAAGTTGAATATAAGCATCTACTCTTCTAACCGGACCATCAGATGGTCGACGTTTAGTGTGACCAAATCATCTTAAAATGATTCTCTCTACTCTTATCTGCAACTAGAGCTACACTATCCCTTCATAAATAGATTCGTTTTGCATTTTTTCTCTAAGTGTCAAGCCACTCATCCACCTAAGCATTCTCATCTCAGCAACACCTAACTTTGTTTTATGCTTCTCTTTTAAAGGCCAACATTCTAGGTCATAAAGCATTGCAGGTCTCACCATCATCTTATAAATTTTTCCTTTTAAGTCTAAGTGGTACTTTTCTATCACACAATAAGCATGATGCATTCCTCCCCTTCAACCAACCAACCTGAATTTTACTACTAACATCCCATCTACCATCACTTTGAACAATAGACCCAAGATATTTAAAATATTTGGACATTTTAATCATTTGATCACCCATAGTTACAACTCTGTCACTAGAGCTACTACTACTAAAATTATATTTCATATATTTAGTTTTAGATCTACTCAAACGAAGGCCTTTAGACTCCAATGTAGACCTTCATAATTCAAGTTTTTTCTTTAACTCCTTCTCTAGCCTTATCCACAAGAAGGATATCATCAGTGAAAAGGACAAATCAAGGTACATCCTCCTATACATGTCCAGTAAGCGCATCCATAACTAAAGCAAAAAGATATGGGCTTAAGGCTGACCCCTGATGTAATCCAACTGAAATAGAAAAATACTTAGTCAATCCTCCTTCCGATAAAACACAAGTAACAGCTCTAATATACAAATCTTTAATGATCTAAATATAAGTTATATCCACAACTTTCTTTTCTAGAACTTCTCTTGGAACTTGATAGTAAGCTTTTTCTAAATCAATTAAAATCATATATAGAACCTCCTTACTCTCTCTGTACTTCTCCATCAAACCTCTCAATAAATGTATAACTTCCATAGTAGACTTGGCCAGCATAAATCCAAACCGATTATGAGAAATCTTTGTACCGTGTCTTAACCAATGTTCAATTACCCTCTCCCATTATTTTAATGTATGACACATTAATTTAATTCCTTTATAATTTACACACTTTTACGCATCCCCTTTATTCTCAAACATGGGAATCAAAATATTCTTCCTCCACCCATCAAGCATCTTTTTAGTTTTTAAAATAATATTAAAGAGTTTAGTAAGCCAAGAAACTCTCAAATCTCCTAGATATTTCCACACTTCAATAGGGATATCATCATGTCTTACTGATTTTTCACCTTTGGTTTTCTTGAAATCTTTCTCAACTTCCTTTATACTAATGCGACGATAAAAAAAAAATTTATTATTATTAACGACATTAAAATCATTGAAATCGATCGTATTTCAAAAACTTCATTGAAAATATATTAAAATAGCTCACCCACCTATGTTGAATATCTTCATCTAAGAAAAACACTTTCTATTTTCATCCTTAATACACTTTAAATTAATTAATCTTTAATTTTCTTTTCTCTTTATTTGGTTGTTTATACATATATTTTTCACTCTCTTCGGTATCTAGTTTATTATAAAGTTCACTAAAAGCAAAATTCTTAGCGTCACAAATTGTTCTCTTAGACTATCTACAAGCCACCTTATATTTTTCTTAGTTCTCTAATTTTTAATATATAAATCAATTTTTATAACACAGCTTCTTATATTATATCCTTTATTGCACATTATTACTCCACCAACTATTTTTATTTCCATTTTTTTTTCTTTTCAATTCTCTTAGTTTATCTTTCGCCACTTGTTTAATAGTGCTCATTATTTTATCCCACATAAAATTAGCTTTTTCATGAATATCTGAAATGTTGAAATTTTGAAATTTACTCATAAAAAAAAAAATTTATTTGTGTCATTTAGGTACTTCCATCTAATTCTATGATAATGCTTAGTATTTTTTATCTCTCTTCAACTTAAAATTCAGAATAAATAATCGATGTTGAGTACTTAAGCTTTCACTTGGAATCACCTTATAGTCTTTACATTCTCGAAGATCTCTTTTTCTCACAAGAAAATAATCAATTTGTGTTTTATTAGATCCGCTCTTATAAGTAATAAGATGTTCATCATTTTTCTTGAATAAAATATTAGTAATAACAAAATCATACGATAAAGCAAAATCTAAAATAGCTCTACCTTCTTCATTAGTTAATCCAAAACCGTAGCCACCATGAATATTTCTGAAATCTTCTCCCACTCTCTCGATTAAGTCATTCCAAAATTTATCTTTAGATCCTGTATCTAAACCTACTTGTGGAGTATAACCACTTATAATATTAAAAATCTTAGTATCAATGATAATCTTAAGGGCTATAATTCTATCACAAACTCTATTAATTTTTACAACATTATCTTTCAAACTCTTATATATAATTACACCTACATCATTTCTAGTGCGACTCTTACCAGAATACCAAAGTTTAAAACCTAAATTATCAATCTCCTCAGCATTTTCCCCAACCCACTTAGTTTCTTGAATACATAAGATATTAATTTTCCTATGAATCATAATATCAACTAATGCCATTAATTTGCCATCGAAAGTGCCTATATTCCAAGACCCTATCCTAATATTAGTTTCATTAGTTTCATGGACTAACTTCTTTACCCGCATTCGCCCGTAATGAGGGAACCCTTGCTTCTTTAACACTACATCCGGGTGCCGGTATAGCGGTCCTTGCACACTTTTCAATGTATTTAGGCTATACAGCGCGTCGCTTCCAGGGGACGCCCTAGCACTTACACAATGATCAAAATGATTCATGTCATCATTTTTTTCGACAAGTTTTATGCTGACTGTCGACTACCTAACGCAATCCTCCACTTTTCGCGTTCGGGCTTGGGACCGGCAACGATAATGTTAAATTGAATTTAATATCAATAATATTTTAAAATTAAATATTAAATATATATTTATTTTATTACTATATGTTTATTCATTAACTCAATTTATTAAATAATTCAGTGTTGCCTACCATATTCAATCTATCGCACCTTTTAATAGTAATTGATTATTATTATATAAATATATAATATTTTTTTATCAATTATATTATCCACATTAATTATTTCATATGATATATATTTAATCTTTTTATGCTTCCACAAACCACGCTTTGCTCAACACTTAGCAATCTAAACCTATTTTTTTTATTCTTTTATGATTCTTGCTTGTTTTGCACAAAATGCTTCTTATTCAGATAAGTATTTATAAATTCTTTTGGCTTTTTTATTTTTTTTCCAAAAATAATTTATTCATCATTAGTATGTATCTATATATATATATATA